AAAATGGCCAAATGTCCTGAATAGACACTTTCCACAAAAGGGTGTAGAGATTGACAACAATTGTGAGGCGATGCTTTCCATCACAGTCACCTGGGAAAAGCAAATCAGAACCAGTTAGGTGTCAGACTCCAGCTAGAGTGACTGTCATCGAAAAGACAGTAGCAAGTGCTGGTGAGGATGTGGGGAAGGGGTCTCCCATACACTGTTGGTGGGAATGTGAATTAGTCTAGCCACCATGAAAACAGAATGGAGATTCCTCAAAACACCAGAAACAGGACCATGCTGTGACCCTGCTCTCCCAAAAGAGTGGAAAGCAGTGTGTCCAAGAGACTCCTGCTCGCCATGGCTTGTCACAGCACCCGAGATGTGAACTCAGCCTAGGTGTCTTATGCACCATGAAATGTCATCTGGCATAAAATGGAAATTTTTCATTTGCAGCCACATGCATGGAGCTGGAGGATATCGTGTTACTTAAAATATGTCAGGCAGAGAACTGCAGTGCTGTGTGTTCTGACTTACATGTGGAAGCTGAGAATTGAGTAGTTGGTACCAGGACCCGGCAGGGCGTGGAGGAGGAGGGGCAGGGAAAGGATGGCTAATAGGGTACAGGCAGAAGGAATAACTTAATAGCCCATAGCACAGATGGATAACTGTGGTTGACAGTAAGTAAGTGAGCAGATGGGGAGTGGAGAATGTTCCCCAACACAAAGAAATGGCAGGTGTCTGAGGTGATGGGTATACCACTTATCCTGACCTGATCATCAGTGTGAACAAATGTGCTGGAATGTTGTGTGCTGTAAGAAAGCACTTTTTTAAAGAACACAAAAATAAGAGGTTGACCAAATGTCCAAGATTTCATTATATGCCTTTTTTGGAAAAATCTGTATCTGTCATAAAGTTATATGCATTGAATGGAATTAAACAGTAGGCAGGTCACTGGAGGCATTGGGTGTACATGGAACTCCCATCCATTGTTGATGTGATGTGAGTTACATTGTTGATGTGATGTGCGGGTGGATGAACTCCTGGGCAGCTGTTCAAAAACAGAATGCAAACTGCTGTTTAATGTTTGTTCAGACTCAGTCTTGTGAATGCCTGTGAAACCTGAATGGTGCTTCTGCAGGTATGGGACCCAGTGTCCCTGTAATAATGAAAGACAGCGGCCCCTGCACAGTCTGTTAAAACAGAATGCTTGGGCCTGGGTCATCTATCATGAGCAGAAATTTGTTGGCTCTCAGTTCTGGAGACTGGAAGTTCAATTTCAAGGTGCCAACATCCGGGAAGGACCTTTGTTCTTGAAAGTACATGTACAGAAGGTGAAAGGGACAGGAGAGAGTGAGAAGGGGGATCTACCTTATCCTTTTATAAGGAACAGGCTCCTGTGTGAAGTAATGGTGCCAGTCATTCCCGATTAATTATGTTGTTTATGTTTGCAGTGTTTGTTCTGCACATGGCTGTTTTTCCAGCAGTGTTTATGGATTTGCTGATACCTCTAACCCCTTTGTCACTAGGAATAGCTTTGGTCTCTGTGCTGTGCAGGACGCTGGGAAGGCGGGCAGTGCTGCCCCTCATTGCAGGGTGGAAATAACAGAAGGGAATGAGATCAGCTGACTCCAGCAAGGAGTGTTCATTGCAAGTCACCCTCTTGTGATTTTAAATAGAATTTGATTTTATACTTCTTGAAACAGTTTTCAGGCTTGTTTAATTTCCTCCTCAGAAGGCAAAGATTGATAACCGAAGAAAATTTTTGTTCCAACATCTATTTTCTTGAAAGTCTAGAAAATAAGTTTTAAGCAAAAGCAAAGTATCAGTCATTGTCTATTTAAAGCAGTCACTCATTTAAAAACAACACAGTAGGTTTAAAGTGTACAAAAAGACACTATCTCCTTAGTTGTCATTTCTTCCACCTAAATGTAACAATTATTAGAAGTTGCTTGGTTATCTCCAGAAAAAGAAACATGTACAGACAATGTGTATTTATGCTTCACATTTACACTTAGAGAACTGTGTGTGTGCATGCATGTGCGTTACACCAGATTCTTTACAAGGTGATTTCTTTAACCACTGCAATCATCTTAAGGAGGTAGGTTGGGTCAGTGAGGTCTCGTCAACATTTACTGCTGGTTTGCATTCTTCTGTTCGACTGGAAATGAGGTCTCTGCAGTGATCTGATAGATGTGGGACCACAACCATCTCCTGGATTGGGCGAGGACCATCATTCTCTATGGCCTGGTTTCCATCTCTGGCCACTTAGAGTGTGTGTAACTGAATGTAGACAGGAAGACATGCAAGTAAGAGGATCAAAGTGCGGCATCACTTTTGTAACCTCTGACAAGGCAATCTTGCAAAGAGGTTTGTTTTTTTTGGTAGTGTTGGGCCCTTACATACATAGTTTAAAATGCTGTAGCACTGAGCTGTATCCTAGCCCAAAGATGGTGTCTTTCATCTAAAGTGGAGCTGTGAAAACTCCACTTTTTAATTCTTACTAAAAAAAAAAAAATAGAATAGGGCAGAATCCAGCATTTCTGCATTTGAGAAAAATGTATAAACTCACCATGTCAAGGAAGTTCACAACCCATAGGAAGAAGATAGCTTTTATTGTCATATAATGCTATGTTGTATCAACTGTATCCATCTCTCTCTCCCTACCCTCCCCGCCCCCACAAATATTTGGTTCCCCTCTCCCAGCTATCTACTAGGATGTCCCAAGGGACAGTGTCTATAGTGTGAGAAATCGTCTTGCATCACTGGAATCAGAGTTGAGTGTATGTCAGCATCTCCTGTTAATTGATGGTGTGACATTGGTTGCTAAGGTTTTCCTTAGTGTCTAAGACCTCCAGTCTTCTCACTTAAAATATCGGACATAAAAATATCTGTTCCATTGGTTGCTTGGGCACTAAGTTATGTCTGTAAATGGCTTAGCACTTAAACAGCTCAATGAATGGCAGCTACCAACCTTTTTATTAACGTAGTACTGGTTTTCCCCAAAACTGCAATCTTGCTTCTGATGTGGCTGTATGTACTTTATGTAAGAAAACCTTTGCTGTCTTCTACTTGGAGGCAGTTGTTCAAGCAGACACTGGGGAGTGGCATATGGTGCTGTTGATAATTGCACTGGGGTGGCAGTGTAAGCCACTTCTGTCGCAGGTAACCAGGCTCATGTCACGAGCATCTGGCTCGTAGTGCTCCTGGGCTTGAGGTTAATGATACCTGTTTCCATGGTGGTTGTAAAGATTAAATGAAGTTCAGTTTGTGGAAGTGACACACCTGTTTCCCCCCACTCCACCTCTGGACTGATGGGTATGTTTTACATACGGATGTTTCTGCCAGGTTATGCTCTTCTCATGCTGTCTCAGTCTGTCTCTAGCCCATCTTTTTGGACAGAATAGAAACTGTGACAGAAGCTATGATAGCTGCATACACAGCTCCTCAGTGCACAGCGAGGGCCACACAGCTGAGCACTGTCAGCGTCGGGGCAGTGGCGCTCAGTGTGCCCACATCCCGTTCCCCTACAAGCTCTCCTTGTTACCTGTTACCTTGCAAACTCTTCTTTTGGAAATGCTTTCTTCTGTATTTTTCTATTTGGATAAGATGTCTAAATGGGTGAAATATTGTTTTGGGTGTAATGCTGTCTTGTAAATATTTCAAGTATGAATTTCCATATGTATTCAATAAAAAGATGCTGTGAATCACAGCTGTCCAGATGGGTTTCTTCCTTGGGTAGAAAGTCTCTCTGAATCTTGAAAAATGGTAGAGTAATTACTGATATACCAAATGTAGTTTTCTTATACAAATCATTTCTAATAATACCAACTGGAGGGATATATGATGCCTCAAGGTTTGGACCTTTGTAGAAGAACCAAACTTTCATTCTTACCTCCTGTGGTTCCCCCCTTAGCAAATCAGTAGGCAGACCTGGTGATTCCTCAAGTCCCTCAGGGTGGGAACGACAGGTAGGAAGTGGCTTTGGTGGCATCAGAATAAAGAAGGTGGGTGGAGCTCGTGGTGTTTCTTAAGTGAGCAGAGGTGAAGAGAGGCTTGGAGCCACGTTTTTAAAGAGAGTCCGTGGGGGTTACCAGAAGGCTCCAGTGCATGGAGAGGCCCTGGGGGCAGCAAGTGCAGCATGAGGTTGGGCGGCCAGAGATGGATGATCCAGAATAATCTTTTCCTTAGGAGACACTGGGTGGGCCATAGGGTAATGGAAGGGTTCAGGATTATTTATAAGTAAGCAAGGTTCTAGCTGGAAGATAAAGAGAAGTTATTGCCAGTTTGGGAAAATGAAACTGTGTATCTCTGTGAGCACAAAGATTGTTCATGCTTTTTATTCTTAATGATATCTTTATAATCTCAAGAAATTAAATATTTAACATATTCTTATTCCTCAAAAGGATATTGCCACTTTAAAATATTCTACGTGTAGATAAACAGGACTAAAAGCTACACTGGCCGACCAGTTTATTTAATGTATTTCTTCACTCAGCATGTTCTAGATTAGACGTTTTCATATGCAAACTCAAGATAAAGTGATTAGAGATGGCCTGTTTTTTGTTGTTGTGGCATAATGATTAATGGTTTTCAGAAAAACAAGATAAACATTACCATTTCCATCCCATTCTGCTCAAAGGTCATGTGAATGTGTAGTCCCGATCTTTATTTTTGAAGTAGAAGTAAAGCAATCTTAGTGTTCCTGGAGCAGTAAGCTAATATAGTGCTACTTATGTTCTTTTCTGTTTTGCAGTACTGAGGTTTGAATTTAGGGCCTCAGGCTAGCTAGGCAGACGCGCTATGGCTTGAGCCACTCCTCCTCTCTTTTTGCTTTAGTTTATTTTTCAGATAAGGTCTCACACTTTTGCCTGGGCCTGGTCTTGGATTGTAAACCCCCATGTCTATCTCCCAAGTAGTTGGGATTACAGATGTGCACCACCACACCCAGCTTGCCATTTGAGATAGAGTCTTACTAACTTTTTGGACTGGAATTGGCCTGGAATTGCAGCCCTTTCACTTCCACTTCCCTGTTTAGATGAGATCACAGGTGTATACCACCATAGTCAGCCTAACACTAGTAATAATCTTATTTGAAGACGAACATGTTATCCGAGTGACTTTACCCTCTAGTGTGCCATCGCGCCTGCCTCTGCTTGTATCTTGTCACCAGGGCAGGTTGCAGACAGCACCTAGGATGTGAGCTCTTTTCTGCCTGGGAGGGTCTCTGGAGCTGAGGCTGAAGAAACTACAATGCAGCAGGAGCCTGATGCGCTCACCTGGACTGCTGTCTGGATCAAAACAGTGTCGTTGTTCTTCTCGGTGTTTATAGTGCGTGCCCAGTGCCACATGAAGGTCGGTGGAGTGGATACCTGCTGCTGTTTCCTCACAGACCTTTTGATTCTCACCCAGTCCAGAGCTCTGGTAGGTGCCATCCTTCTTACTGCACAGTGGGTTTGCACAGTAGCAGTCCCAAGGCTACAAGCTATGTAACCTGCTTAGCTTGGGAAGAGTAGTTTTGGTGGAGTAGTTGGGGAGAGCCTGGCCAGAAGGAGAGATGGGACCATAGTATAAATGATTCTTTTGTGTTTTCCTGCAAAGTGGGATGAGAGGTACAGCCTGTGTGGGAAGTGGGATCAGAAAAAGGCTGTTTAGTTCAGTTTCATTTCTGGTGGGTAAAATAGGCATGTATGTATTCCTGCACCCAACAGGAAAGGCAATCAAGAGGGTGGTGCAGCAAGTGTGGGGGGCTTCATCCTGGCCCCCTCACACATGTGCTGCAGCCCCTGTGTGCCAGGACCTGGGAAAGCAAACTGATTCCGAATGGATGCTAAGACTCTTGGCCAGAGGCCTCTTCCCGTCCCAGTTTTTTTTTTTTTTTTTCAGTACTGGGGCTTGAAGTCCTCTCCAGCTCAGTACTGTAGTTGTTCCTCAGTAAGAAGCCTGGTATTTACCATTTTGTCTTTCCTTCCTTGGAAACCATAGGTGATAGTTGTCACTCACCTTGTTAATCCTGTGATTCTGCCCAGTGCAGAGCTCAGAAAGCTCCCTTGAGGACATCTGAAGAACCAAAGGAAACTTTGTGTTAAAATCTGTGGAGCCTAGGACAGAATGCTCAGGGAAGAAGTAGTATTGCAGTTTCTTGGGTGGGGATGAGGCTGATGTGTGTGGGTTTGTGTTAGTCCTGCTGAATCTAAGGACTGAGTCAGCCATGTGCTCATGGAAACAGATCCCCACTGGAAGTAACAGGCATGGGCTTAGGTAGTACTGCTTATGAGGCCCTTAAAAATTTCCTCAGAGTCTATTTCCCAGAGAGCTTTTCCTCTTCCTGGTGAGTATTGTTTGTTGTTGTTGTTGTTGTTTTGTTTTTGACAGCAGTGGATTCCTCTTCCAGGCCCTGCTTCCTCTTTGCCCACAGCCCCACAAATCCCTGAGTCACAGGAATCCATGATTAAGTCATATGAGGGGTCACGAGAAAGATCCATGCCACAGAGAGAAACCTGGCCCCTTCTATCATATGAGGATGAACAAGAGGCTCCAGTCTCACCAGAAGCCAAACCTGATGGCTCCTTGTTCCCCAGCCTCCAGAATGTGGGAAGTAAACTGTTGTTTGCGCATGACCCACCCTATGGTATTAGGTGAGCTAAGACACTGACCCAGGAACTTCCGTTTAAGTCTTAAGCCTTTAAAGAGTTTATCGTGTGCAAAGTGCATAGTTGGCCTCTAGTGTGTGCATTTCTAAGCACGTAGGTCCTGTGTGTATTCTGCTTAATTATTTGCTTCCTTGGCAGTGTAGCTCTGGCCCCTTTCCTCTCATGAGGGCCTGTTCATGGGCACCGCTCTGTGCTGTAGCCTTTTCTGAAGAGACCTCATAAGATCACTATGGGAGTTGGATAAGTAGACCCATTTCAAGCACTTAGCACAGGGCCTTGCCACATGGCAAGTGCTTCACAAGTGACTGAAACAAAGGCTGTAGGGCCTATGATGTTTAAGAAGCAAGAAATCAAATCTCTGTGTTCTGCTAATAGCTCTGAGGCTGGCAATGAGGACTGGAGCTCTGTGTGAGCCTGGGTTCAACCTCTGGGCCGTGCATGGAGGAACAGTCACGGTCTTCCTGTGCGGCCTTGTTTGCATGCATCAGGCTTGACACCAAACATGACCGTGTGTCATGCAAGAGAGCTGTCTTTTTTAACATACCCGAGGGCTGATTAGCACCGGCTCCTGTTTTTTTGGCCATGATGCATCCTTGAGGTTTTCTTCCTTGTGAGTTCTGAGAGAGGGGCTGTATGCTCCATCTGCTTACTCTGTCCCTAGGTCCAGATTTAAAGAACCAAAGTGAAGGAGGGTGTGTCTCCTGGAGAAGCCCAGCAGCATGGCTTCCACAGTGCTCTTCATCACCACAGGCCATGGCCTCACAGATGTGGCACCCACAGGACCGTCCCACCGGCTCCTCTCCTTTTTCTTAAGCCATTGAGAAATGTGCGTCTCCGCTCATAGTCACCTGGAGGGATGGCACAGGATAGCTCATAGGATACTTGTAAACAGCTGGCTCTGGTTTGATGTCCAGCAGACTAAGAAGAAAACTGTTCTGTTTTCTCATGTGTGCACAGCCCAAGCGCAGTTCAGCCAGGGCTTGTGACTCTAAATCCTGTGTCCTCCGGGTTTTACTGCTTGCTCACCATTGCTTCACTCAGTAAAGTCACAGTAGTAGGGCCTGTTAATCAGAACCCCGGCCTGGAGTGAGAATTCCAGACTGTGTCACGGATTTGACATCTGTGAGCTCTTGAGACTTTCCCTTTTACATCACAAGGACAGGGTTTCCTGTCATCGTGTTGCTCCTTCTTATTGGTTATGCATCCCAAGCATTTTCATAAGTGCTTTCTGAGTATCTTTAAGTTTTAAAGGTGTTTTTCCCAGTATGCCCATACTTTGTCACTAAGATGAATAGAAGTCTCTCTTTTTTAAAAAATGTTTTTATTAGGATATATTTGTTGTACAGGGAGATTCATAGTGACAATTCCAAATAGGCTTAAATTATACATTGGCTAATCCCCTCTCCCCATTGACCCCCTCCCCACCCCACTTAAAACAATTCCAAGAGGTTTCTTGGTTCTATTTTGTATAAATGTATGAAGTCCATCAACCATATGCCCTCACCTTAACCTCCTTCATTCACCCTCACCCTCCCACAAGTACCCCATGCACACACTGTACCTATTTCTTTTCTATCTTTCAATGTGGCTAGTGTTGAATTGGCTCTTTCTGAATTCCTAGAAAAGCATAAATACACGTTTTTGTGCTGTACTTGGTACACAGGTGAGTAGCACAGAAGAAGAAAGTGATTCTGTTTTGTAACTATTACTTTCTGACCTCAGACTGAGTACACATTTCCTGGACACAGCTTGGACCTGTTGTGGTAAGGGGATGTGTGCAGTGAAGGGGTTGTGGGCGAGTAGACCTTTGCTGTGTTGTGAAGTCACTGTGCTCCTGCCCCCGCCTCTGCTCTGCTCACAACCCACAGCTGGCTGCCGAATGCCCAGGGTGGATGCATGTTGCTCACCCTTGGCAGATCTGCTGGTCAAGGCAGTCAGAAGGCAGCTCTGAAAAGGCAAACCCCATAGTGATCCTAACTAGAGCTATGACCTGCTCGTGCCAGGTGCTGCCATGAAGGGTCATGTGCATTGCTATTTAGTCCTTACAAATTCAAGGGTTATTATTTCCCATTTTAGAGCCAAACAAACTAGTAATTTGTCCAAAGTCAATGGCCAATAAAGAGTAGGCTAGGACTTGAACCCAGGCCACCTGATGAGGAGTGTGTTCGCCAACAACTTCCACAGTTGGGATGGGGCAATGTGGTGTGTGTCACCTGTGTTCTAGGGAATGCTCTTCTAAAGTCTGAGACACAAAACTGAGAAACAGAAAATGATTTACCTCAAAATGTCTTCCCGTTGGTAGACAACCTGACCAGCATACACTGAGGTGTGATCCAGATTACTGTGCGAGGCCACAAGAAACTGTTCATCCCTTATGGTGATTTTCAGGTCTAAATGGGATTGTACTTTAAGTTAACTTTGCAAAGAAATAGAAAGTTTCCCTGCTTATTTTTGAAATGTTGTTGCTTGGGGGAAAAAAAAAAGTTATGTCTCAAGTTAGACTGTATGTAGTTGTCTTGTAAGAAATGCTAATTCAAAAAATAAATTATTTTACTAGAATATGCCTTAAAAAATAAGTGAAATTAAGGGAAATGTCTCACTGGTAGTGTTTCTTCAGCTTCACTCTGTGGGTTAGAGGTAATATCACTCTCTTCTTCACTGATAAGACCCCAGTTCTGAGCTCTCCTTAATTGACCACAAAACCCACTCACTCAGAGTGATGGCCACAGATGGGGCTCTGTGGCCAGGTGGAGTTTATGATTGGTCACTAAGTCACTATTTATCTTTCTTTTTGTTTTGTACTTTGGCTATCAAGCAGTCAGATTCTCCAAAATTGAAGTCAGAACTTAAGAGTTTGTTTAACTAAAGGCAAGGAGAGCCTCTATTCCCTTGAGATGCAAGGAAAATCCATTCATTTTTCTGTTAAATTTTTACGAATCTGGATGATGATTCAGGGCGAGCTGGGATTTGTGTTGTTTTGCACCACTGACCTCCTGGGTTCTAAGTGTAACCAGTGACCCCTGCCCGTCTGCGATAGTGGTGGGGCATCCAGGTCGGGATGAGCTTCTCCCCAGCCTGGGGTTCAGGATCTGCAGGGACCCTGTGTCCACATGTCCACACTGTGGCCTTGCAGCACGACCTTAATTAATCCATACAGCTTTGCTGTCTGTTCTAAAAAGTCCCAGTTTGAGCACAGGAGAGGGAGGAATCTTGTTAGTTATCACATGTAAAGACCTTTGGGAAAGAGCTTTTTGAACTGCAGTTCTGTGAGGCCGTCCAGTGAGTGCATACTGGTGCAGGTGCTTATGAATACAAAAGTTCTAAATTAACAAAGACTTCTGTTAGCTTTTACGTTGTTGTCAGGCAGTTGTCTATATCAGTCCACGTAGTAAGGTGTGAAAATGTTTTCTTCTCCCTGCTCCTTGCATCACAGTATTTAACTTGTTTCCATCCTGTGGGATAGATGACCCGTTACGTAATTTTCCTGATGTTAACCAGATGGGGTAGATAAGAAAATAATGTTATCTGAAGGTCACCCACCAATTGAAACCTTTTCTTTCTGTCTTTACTTCAAATTTGTAAGCTTAAGCTGATTCTTTTATTTTTCTGCCATGCAAAAACAAGGCAAATCCTTTTTTTCATGAGTGTCTTTGTCTCATTCTTACTGTTTCATTGGAAACTTTTCCCCTATAGATAAATAATACTAAATAAGGAGATAGTTTTACTTGTTTATTTTCAGTTTTTCATATGGGAGCAAAACCCTTGACAGCC